CCGTGGGGCCGCCCGCCCGGCTGCCGGGGCGTCCGCTGCAGCGCCTCTTCCGCGCCGCGCTCGCCGCCAAAATGGGCACCGTCGACGGCGCGGCCGCGTTCCTGCGCGGCACCCTCCTGGACCCCATGGACGCCGCGGAAAAGGAGCAGCTGGGGACGTATCTGGCCGCGCAGGGCGAGACGGAGCACGAGTTCGTGGCGAGGATGGCGCGCGCCGCGGTGGAGAGCTGTCGCAATTGGGACGGCTTCATGGAGGTGGCGGACGTGCTGCACGCGGACTGGGGGTTTGAGCCTGCGGCGCTCGATGGCGCGCATGGGAAGCCGCTGCTGGTGGTCGGGTCGGCTGGGGATGCCATCGGGAGCATGAACTCGGCGTGGCTGGCGGAGAATTATGCGAATGCAACGGCCAAGACGATCCCAGGAGGCCACATCTCGAGCTTGTACTACATGGACGAGATATGGGAGGAGATGATGACATGTGAGTGCACCGGAAACTGGGGAGAGAAAAGTGATACTGACTAAGGGATGTAGTGGCGAGCGAATTCGCGGGCAGGAAAGTTCAACGGCGGATGCCTAGGACTTGCACTTGAGTTCTTGGAGGCCGGTCTTATTCTTGGCCATTGTCAGCGAACCTTGTGCTAGACGTGCTGACCCCAATATCTGTGTTAAATATTTATCTAAATGGTTGTGTTCAATCTTTGTATTCTCAACTCTTGTAGCTGTACACTGGCAAAGAAGCGCCGCATGTCTCGGTCGCTCGCTTTCAAGCCGTCTCCGGCGGGCTTAGTGTTCCATACAAGTCATACTCGGTCCATTCCAACTTGGGCTGCACCTCTTCTATTTTCCATTCTCCGTGGAACTTGCTGTACTTGTGGACTACATATCCATGTGCGTGTCCTTTATTGGCCACCGTTCCCAGTGTCTCGTCCGTGTAGCGCTGGTGAGCGACGCGCAGCTGATGGATCACTTCGACAGACCCAGAGACCAGATACGTCCACGTTGTCGCGCCCATCAAATGCTGCGTCTTGAGTCGCGCATCGCCAATCGTCTTTTCGAGAATGGCTACGTACTCATCGGGAGAGAGATTCTCGTGCAGCGCGCCCTGCAGGCTGCGGAAGTCGAGGCGGGAAGACGGAGCGAGACAGGTCCGCAGCAGAGGCCAGTTCTTCATGTCATAGCTGGTCGACCAAGCAGAAGCCAGGTTTGTTATAGTGAGATAATCTGCCATGTACTCGTGAGTATACCCGCAATGGATCGGATGTGTCGCGTTCATACCCTGAAACGAAATGTTGTCATTCATCTTGGAGATGGATATGGTACGCAAGTCAATAAATGTTGAAGGTATTCAGAGTCGCGCAGGGCCGCCCTTTATCATTACGCTGCTCAGCCTGATTTGCTGCGCATTACTCATCGGTCGGCTGATGTGCTTAGTGGAGGATTGGGCACCTAGACGCGTGGAAATGTCTCAGAATCGTAAAATAGAGCCGTTGTGCCGCGAAGGGCTTGAAGACGGAACTGCTGCACCTCCAGTATAGGGCTCGCCAAGCCTGGATCGTTTGTCCCGCGATCTGGGTCTGGTCGCGGTTCGTCAGAACGATCACAGAGCTGCCCGGCGGGTGAAATCATGGTTGGTTAGGACTGTTGCGCACCGAGGAGAAGCTTTAGATGGCCTTTTTTCTATATTAGCACCAACGCAGGCGAACGGGGATTCGGGCAGACGTTGCCGATGCTACCCGGTACTCGCAGCTATAACCATGGTAGCAGACTATAGCCTTTATAACGGTAACAGCCACCACCCTCACCAAAAATCCTGCAGGACGGATACAGTGAATTCATTGGTTAGCACATACGTCGATGTGGTGTCATGTCTATATATTGTGGTTGCGTTGTATGTAAAGCCGCATGTTACCATCACATTGCCAGGCTTATCCGGAACTGTATCAGAAGCCTCGCTTATTAACGACACAAGGGAGAAGTTGTGAAAAATAAAATGGACGCGCCACAGTGAAAGAAGCTCGGAAAAGAAACCAAGCATGGAAGCCCTGCAGCCTTGTGGCAGGGAAGAGGCACCCCCCCTGGTCGCTGGGGTGTGTCGATAGCAACTTCTGACTGGGCAGAATAAGAAAAGGGAGAACTGGCGCATCGGTACGAGATGCCATAACTGATCCCGCAGCCCACCGGCCCATCCATCCTCAGCGAGACCCGAGTCTTTGATCTGCCAGTATCCCGACTGACATGGGCCAGTCAGAGTCGAGAACAGCTCCAGGGCCATCTGTTGATTTGCGCCAGTGGGCAGGGAACCCGGTGAGCTGGCCGGCTTGACACTCACCCGCCTTTTTGCGTCGCCACCATTTTATTCCATCGCCGTCGACCAACTTTGTCGCTCCGTCCCAACGATGCGCTCTCTTTCTTGAACCCCTTTCACCGGAAATTCTCTCTTCCCCTTGTTGACAGCCCTGATGATTGCAGCATCATGGATTCTCCGCAGAGAGAGCTGGTCACGGCAAACAACAAGTCTCCTCTGATACAGATCCTGGCGTGGATGTTTCTCGTTATTGCGGTGCTGTCGTGCGCGGCCAGATCGGGCACCAAGCTGCAAATGGTCAAGAGACTCAAGACGGAGGACTACTTTGCGATTGTGGCAACGGTATGCCCTCAGAAATTTGGTCACTTTCTAACGTGGCTAATTTTGTCCTTTAGATTGCGGCTTGCGGTCAATTTGTTGCCCATGTCGCCAGCGGCTATCAAGGGTTGGGCAAACATGTGTCAGATTTGACGCCAGACAGGATCCATGGCGCGCTCAAGGTAATGCAAAAAGGGCTACCGGAAGACGTGTGTTTGGGCGGCTAAACTTTTGGCTGGCAGGGCCAATATGCGGCTGATGTTCTCTTCATCGTGAGCCTTTTCTTTGCCAAGATAGCGACGGCCATGATGACCAAGTCCATCTCGCAGCGAAGCTACCGGCGGATGATACAGGCCATCGCGTTGTTGATTATCGTCTGGGCGGCAACTGGCCTCCTTGTGGTTCTCTTCCAGTGTCAGCTACCCAGCCCGTGGTATTCTATTCAGCGAAAATGCATCCATCGTGTAAGTCGCAGGACAAACTAACAAGTGTGTGCATTGTTGCCGCAGCTAATTCTTTATAACCAGGTTGCCTTTTGGTCCTACTTTGGTGTCGTCAACATTGTCACCGACCTGCTGCTGATAGGAATCATGGTGGAAAATGTGCGCCGCATCCAAACATCATGGTCGAAAAAGACGGTGGTTATTTGTGTCTTTGGCAGCCGCATCCTGTACGTGCTCTCCTTTCCCATCACTACTCCCCTTTCATTGTACTCATCATCTATGCAGTGTCACCCCCGCCATTGTCTCACAGATTGCCTTTTTGAAACGAGGCTTTTCGGAGACGGATCCAACGTTTGCTATGTGGGAACTGACCATCACCACGGCCGTGGTGACGTGTCTCAGCATCCTCGCCATCTGCGTCCCCAATCTCAAGCCGTTCATGGACAGCCTCGAGTCGGGCCAGCTGCGCGCCGACGACCTGCGGCGCCAAGGAAAGTCGAGCAGTGGAGGATATCCGAGCTACAACCGCAACGCGTCGTCGGGCGGCCAGGACGGCAGCCATCCTCGAAGCAACCGCGACAGGGCGGCGGCGGCGGCGGGCGGCAGCAACCCAGGTGCGCGCCGAGATCCCTTGGCATCCAAAACCTCGCAACAGCAAAGCGGGATGTTTGAAATGGTCGACTTGCCGACTGCGAAAAAGGAAGAGGCGCAGAAGCAGCAGCAGGGCCAGCTGAGCGCCACTGGCGACGTGGCGTGGGACGGCGAGAGCCACACGAGCCAGACGATACTCATCCAGCAGACCAAGACATGGTATATAGACGTGGATGATAGGCGCGACTCGGAGTAGGATGGGTGAAGCTTCAAGGCCCGTGAGCAGGACAGCGTGTACTTTTTTTTCCTTTTTTCTTTTTTTTTCTTTTGCTGTGCTTTGACGATTCGTCCTGTTGGGTCGGCAGTTGGGCGCAGATTCTAATCCACATATAGCGTATAAAATCGACCGTCTTTTTCCGATGTGGCGTTTAAATCTCTGGGCCTAGATTTTGAGGAAAAAGCAAGCAGGTGTTGGTTGCCCTGCTGCCTCCAGCTGTACACGCTCACTTACATGAAGAATACGTTTTATCAGGCCGCAAAGAGGAAAGAGTGTCTATACTTTCCACAGACTCGACAACCACATTTTCAAGCCACATCATCATTGGGGGCTACACTGGCCGGGATGTGCAACAGGAAGTGATGTGAATTGTCGTCACACCTTTCTGACGCATTGGGTGCCTTAGGACAGCGCCTCCCTGGTTCGGCCAACGCCAGTACGTTGACGATACCGGGCTTGCCCAGGAGGCCTCGTTTTTCGGCGAGGTCTGCCTAAATTACTAAGATAGCCTTGCCTAACTACGCTCCTTCTTAAATTCTCCCCGGCCTAGGTTGCAGGCCCCCGAGCGGCCTTGTAATTCAAAACCCACGACCAGCGAAAGCCCCATAGAGTTAGATGAATTTTTAATTAGAATTATTTGTAAAAATTTTGGTTTGATAGGTCCCCGCACGCCGTTTGCCCTCTTCAGGGATTCCCGTAACAGCAATAAATTAATTAATTAATAAATAAGCATTGGGTTAAATCGTGTCCGTGTCGCCAGTGTCGAAGCGAGGTATCACAGCCGCCATTTCTGGGGAAAACGAAAACAAGAAAAATAAATAACTAAATAAAAGAAACAGCACTTGCTACTGTAAGGTACTGGAAGTAGCCTAACTAAACGGACTAGGTTCATAAAAACGTCAGCCTCGAGTCTTCCAAAAGTCCCCTGCACCGGACATTAAACCTTTCATCTCTGTACATACGAATTATATTAAAATTCTTGATGAAGCGGCCTGCGTAGTAACGGCAGTGCGCCTTTCTCTCACCCCCTCGGCCGGCCGTCCAGTAGTTGTTCGAAAGTGGGTTGCTTTGGGGCAAGCCACAGAAAGACCCTGGCCCTGACTTGCTGTTGTCTTTTCTGCTGTTGTCTTTTTTGCTGTCGTCTTTTCTGCTCTTGTCTGGGGCTGAAGCCTTGGCTGTAAATACCTCAACGAGGAAGCTGGTTGTTGCTTGCTGTTGTTGGGCAGTTTCTGCCGACGAGAAGAAAACAGTTTGGTAATAACTAGCGAGAAACACCCTCGTACATGCAAAAGTCCCACCCCAAAGGGGTCGGAGACATTTGGTATTCGGCAAGCATTTGACGCTCCACCTCTAATGATGCTGGCTGATCGCAAGGCCTGCAAGTCGTGACACGCATCACGCATGCAGTCAGACACCCACTCACTCCCCAGATACACCCCCCTCCAACGTCATTTCTTCTTTTCTTCTTGGTACATTGTCCTGCCCATAATTAAATCCATAGAACCCCTCCCCATGGCCCATGCCTCTGTCGAGTCCGCGCAGAGCCTGTTCCAACTTGGCCAATGATCAGGGTGAGGGCAACCATGTCTCGTCAGGTTTCAACTGAAGCTACTCTGTACACTTGACCCGATATTTCCATGCAAGTGGCGCTTGTAATTCTCTTTACTTTGCCTGTACCAGTAGAAGCCTAGTTGACCCGTTTGATTGCCTTGAGCTAACCCTTTTTCTTCAGACAGAGGCCCTTCTGCAGCTATCCTTACACAGCTACTTTTGCATCTTTAAGCTTCCTTCATCTACACATCCCCCCCCGAGGGTCGTGATTCAGTCTTTACACGCCGAGTTGCACAGCTCTCCACCAGCTCCTCTCCAACGCAGCATTGAAGCACCTACTGGTCCTCATTCGGCAAGTCATGGCTTCTACCGGCCACGAGTTGGGCAACATGGCCACGGCCACGGCCAAAGGCATGCAAGCCCCTTCCACGCCGCACAGCGAGCAAGTATCCAACAGCGAGTACACCGACAGCGAGCAGCTCGCGCGGCTCGGCAAGAAGTCTGTCCTCAAGGTACGCCCAAAAAGTCGGCGCAATTCTACATGTCGCGGGGCGCCCCAATGCTCACCAACGTTCTCCGTTTCTTCCAGCGCAACTTTGGCTTCATGTCCATCCTCGGCTTCTCCTGCACCATCCTCATCACGTGGGAGGCGACGCTCGTGCTGTCGGCGCAGGGCCTCGCCAACGGCGGCCCGGCCGGCGTGCTGTACGGCTACCTGGCCGTGTGGCTCGGCAACGTGAGCGTCTTCACGACGCTGTCGGAGCTGGCGTCGATGGCGCCGACCGCCGGCGGCCAGTACCACTGGGTGGCCATGCTCGCGCCGCGCCGCGCCGCCCGCTTCCTCAGCTACGTCACGGGCTGGCTGACCGTCGCCGGCTGGCAGGGCTCCGTCGCGTCCTCGGCGTTCCTGACGGGAACCATGGTGCAGGGCATGGTGGCCATGAACCGCCCCGACACATACGCGCCGCAGTCGTACCAGGGCACACTGCTGTTCTGGGCCGTCATGCTGTTCGCCGTCGTCATCAACGCCGTCGTCAGCTCGGCGCTGCCAAAGTTTGAGGGCCTGATCCTGGTCCTGCACGTGCTCGGCTTCTTTGCCATTCTGATCCCGATGGTGTCGCTCGGGTATCACGGCGACCCGCACACCGTCTTTACCGAGTTTCGAAACGGCGGTGGCTGGCCGACGCAGGGTCTGTCGTTCATGGTCGGCCTGATTGGCAACGTCTTTGCGTTTGTTGGTAGGTTTGGCCTTGGCGCTGCAGAAGGTCCGTTTTCTTTGCTAACCAACGACAGGTGTGGACGCTGCCTTCCACATGTCCGAGGAGACGGTCAACTCAGCCGTGACGGTGCCCAAGTCCATCTTCCTGAGCCTGCTGATCAACGGCACCACCGGTTTCGCCATGACCATTGCCGTCCTGTTCTGCATCCAGGATCTGGAGAGCGTTCTCAAGTCGCCCACCGGGTTCGCCCACATGCAGCTGTTCCTGGACTCGACCGGGTCCGTTGCCGGCTCGACCGTCATGGCGGCCATCATCACCCTTCTCGGAGCGTGCGCCACGGTCGGCATGCTGGCCTCGAGCTCGCGCGTCTTTTGGTCGTTTGCGCGCGATCGCGGCCTGCCATTCTGGCGCATTCTCTCGCAGGTCGATGCGCGCACGACGGTGCCGCTGTGGGCCATTACCTGCACAACTTGCATCGCCTGCCTTCTGGCGCTCATCAACCTGGGCTCCGCGACGGCTCTCAACGCCGTCATCTCCCTGTCTATCTCGTGTCTCTACCTGTCTTACTTTATCTGCGCTAGTCTCCTCCTGTATCGTCGCACGACAAAGGGGTTCCAAATACCGGAGGCGTCGGAGTTGCCCGCCCTTGCCAATACGTCGGGTGCTGAGCTGGTCTGTGGTCCATGGCACGTCCCGGGTGCACTCGGAATTGCCAACAACGCTGTCAGCTGCATCTATCTCATTGTCATCTTCTTCTTTAGCTTCTGGCCGGGGATGATGAACCCTGGTGCAAAGGATATGAACTGGGCCTCTGCTGTGACTGGCCTTATCCTGGTCTTTAGCATTGTCTATTATGTGATTTGGGCAAGGAAGGAGTATGAGGGTCCTATTGTCGAGATTTGAGCGAAAGCCGTTCCTAGTAGAATTAGTTAGATAAAAACTGTGCATTCCAAGCCAAAGTCGGGCCATGGTGGCTTGTCTTGTCTTGTCTTGTCCCACCCCGCATCTTGTCGTGCAGCCGATTGCGGGGAAACCTTCCATCAACAACTCTCCGATCGGATAGCCTATCTGTTCCAGAATCTTTCTCGGCCCGACCGATAGTCTTTCGATGAAAAGAACTCGTAGTCCTTGCTCCTGTATAGACATTTCACCGCCCGCATTTGGTGTCGGGCTCCGCCACATCGTGGACAACAACGCAGCCCAACCACCTCACCCTGTCATCATGCCATCATCCGCCTTCGTTGGTGGCCGGAAAGGCGAACACTTTCGCTTCACAATCTTTACCGACGGCCTTTTCCGCTACGAATGGGCCCCGGACGGCGACTTTGAAGATCGCCCCTCCGCCTTTGCCGCCCGTCGCAGTCAGTGCACGGCCGTCCCCGACTACCGGGTCGTCGAGTCCAAGCACGCCCTCGAGATCTTCACGGAGCGCTTCCACCTCAGCTACAACAAGGCCAAGTTCTCCCCCGAAGGCCTCTTTGTGCGTGTCTACGGCCACCTCGGCACGACCTGGCGCTACGGCGAGACCTACGAGACCCTGGGCGGCACGTATCGCACCCTCGATGGCGTCAACGGTCGCGTGCAGCTGGAGCCGGGCGTGACCTCGCGCAAGGGCTTCGCCAACGTGGACGACGACAGCATGCTCTTTACGAGACACGGGTTCATCGCACCGCGGAAACCCGGTCCCGACAGAGTCGACGCGTACTTGTTCTGCTACGGTCACGACTATCGCGCCGCCGTCAAGGCCCTCTATTATATCTCCGGGCCGCCGCCGCTGCTTCCGCGCTGGGCGCTGGGCAACTGGTGGTCCCGCTACTACGAATACACGGCTGAGTCGTATCTGGCCCTCATGGACACGTTCAAGGACAAGCGCATCCCACTATCCGTCGCTGTGATTGACATGGACTGGCATTGGGTCAGGGATCCGCGCGTCGCCGACGCCAACGCCTCTGGATGGTCGGGTTACTCCTGGGACACAAACCTCTTTCCAGAACCCCGAAAGTTCGTGCATGAGCTTCATAAGCGGAACTTGAAGGTGACATTGAATGAGCATCCTGCCGATGGTATCGCAAAATACGAGGACGTGTACGCCAAGATGGCCGAGGTTCTTGGACATGACACATCCCAAGGTAAACCCATCCCTTTCAACTGTACCGACGTCGATTTCCTCACGGCGTATTTCAGAATCGCCCTCGGCCATATCGAGGATGATGGCCTTGATTTCTGGTGGACCGATTGGCAACAGGGCACCCATTCTGCCCTCCCCGGCGTTGATCCCCTTTGGGTCCTGAACCACTTCCACTTCCGCCACAATGCGCGCCTACAAGAGAGCCGTCCCAAATACGACCGCAGCCACCCCATGGTCTTTTCTCGCTACGCCGGTCCCGGAAGCCACCGGTACCCCATCGGCTTCTCCGGCGACACAATCACCAGCTGGGAGTCGCTCGCCTTCCAGCCCGAATTCACCGCCACGGCCAGCAACATTGGCTACGGCTGGTGGTCCAACGACATTGGCGGCCACATGGGCGGCCGCCGCGACGACGAGCTGACGGCGCGCTGGGTGCAGCTCGGCGTCCTGTCGCCCGTGATGCGCCTGCACTCGACCAAGAACCGATGGGTCACCAAGGAGCCGTGGAAGCTGCCCACCGGCTCCGGCCGGGGACCGCAAGACGTCGTCATCAAGTTTATGCGCCTCCGCCACAGGCTCCTCCCGTACCTGCACACCATGAACCGCCGCGCGGCCGAGCATGGCGAACCCTTGGTCCAGCCCATGTACTGGGCGTACCCGGAGCGCGAGGAAGCGTACGGCGTGCCCAACCAGTACTACTTTGGCTCGCAGATGCTGGTCGCGCCCATTACGGCGCGGCAGAACCGCGACACCAAGACGGGCAAGGTCAAGGCGTGGCTGCCTCCGGGCACTTGGGTCGATTTCTTTACCGGTGTGGTGTATGATGGCAATCGCAGCATCTGGCTGAGCAGAACGCTCGACAATATGCCTGTTCTCATGCGCCAGGGTGCCATTGTTCCGCTTGATGCGGACCGGCACGGGTCCAATGGCGCTGCGAATCCGCAGGGCTTTGAGATTGTGGCCGTGGTGGGGGCCGATGGGCACTTTGATATCCTGGAAGAAGATGAGAGTTTCCAAGGGGCCGCGGACAAGGCGCCGTGGGTCAAGACGTCCATCTCTTTTGACCAACGCCGGGGCATTCTCTCCATTGGGCCGAATCGCAGCGGGGCGCTGGCCTATTCGCGAACATGGAGTGTGCGTCTGCTGGGCGTTCGTAATCATGACGGGATTAGTGCTTCCATTGGCGGTGTCTCAATGACCTCGGTGTCCACGGAGTCGGTGGAAAATGGTACCGTGGTGAACCTCGGTCGCATAGCCCCGGGCGCCACGGCCATTGTGTATCTCGGCCCAAACAGGCAGTTGGCTGTCAACGACTCAGAGTCCCTCATTTTCCCTATTCTCTACGACGCCCAGGTTGGCATTCAGCTGAAGGAAAAGATTGATGAGATTATCACCCCAAAAGATGTCCCCGCGTCTATCCGAGTCACGCAGGCGGCTGCACTGGAGATGGATCAAGACCTCCGCCACATTTTGAACGAATTCTTCCTAGCCGACAGCCGATCCTAGTCCTATACTATTTAGGAAAGTATTTCTAGTTATTTATATGCTACTTTTAAGCCAAGTATACAAGCGGTATTTAAAGTATAGTTAATAGGATGGAATCTGTACTTGAGGGGTGGTAGTAAGACTAAATACATCAAAGGAGTATATATCTTCTTTGGAGGGAAAATTCATAAAAAAATATAGATCCTTTAGATAGTCTACGGTCGTAAAGCATTACTTGTGTCATGCTGGTGGCGCAACGAGAACTTGCTGGTAATTCGCCATGAGTCAACTTAAAAGAATGAGCGCTGCGCTAGGGCAGTAGCGACTCGAGCTATATATATTATTAGGACTTCGACTCGTGCAAGCCCGCCCGCAACAGTTCAGCACTCAGTCAGTTATTAAAGTACTGGCTCTTGTCATTCTTTAAAAGGAATGCGCTTTGCTGACTTGCTCCTATTGGCTCTTCTGCAACTCCTTAGGCTCCCTGCATACTTTCTGTCACATGACTCCGCGTTGAGCCGTCGTCTGGCAACTCGCGCCCCTCGAACTTGCCCTTGACCAGTTTACATTTCACTTCCTACGGTATCGCCATCGCCTTGAAACCCCGCCATGACAACGCGCAATTTGCTCTCCGGTCCCATCACATTCTCTTCTGCCACAGCCCGGAGCGCCAATGTCCTTCACGCGTTACAGTACCCACTGCTTAAGCTCGCCTTCTACAGCTACGTAGAAGAGCATCGCGCTGTTCTGGCCGAGGTCATCGCGCACCACTTGGGTACCAAGCCAGCCGACATTGAAATCGCCCCCCAAGAATGGTGGCAGCATGGATCCTTCAATCTGGTCATACCGCTCAACGTCAATGGCGACCCTGCGCACTCGACCGTCCCCCACGCCATTCTTCGCTTTCCCCTACCGTACCGCGTCGGCGAAGCAGCGAACCCCGGCAACGCGGATGAAAAGCTCAACTGCGAGGCGGCCACGTATGCCTGGCTCGAGGAGAACTGCCCCTCTGTTCCTATACCGAAGCTGTACGGTTTCGGGCTATCTACGAATCAGAGGGTGAGCGCCCTTGCCTTCGGATCCCCGTTTCTGATCTAATCTCACTATTCCACTAGTTCACGAATGTCAGCCTCCTTCCCTGGTGGTCACGCTGGCTCCACGAAGCTCGACGGCTTTTTCGAGCGGCTTTTGGCCTGCAGCAACCTTCACAATATGTCCCCCATTCTTCGAGCCGTCTGGCAGCCCTTGACGTCAGTTATCTGCTTCTTGAAACGGTCACTTCTGGGCAGACTCTGTCACACTCCTGGGACGAGAAGCGCGATGATAATGCCTGTCTACAAAATCTACAAGGAGACCTAGCGAGGATAATAGTTTCGCTTGCGAGGGTTCCCTTGCCCCGTATCGGAGCCTTCCGCCTTGACAGTCACGGGTATTTGCACTTGGACAATCGTCCTATAAGTGTTACTACTGCCACACACGAGAATGAAGGGCTGCCTCTCCATTTGCCTCGGCGCACAACGTTCTCTAATGTTGAAGATTTTGCATTCTCTCAGCTGGCGGCCTTTGAGACTCGCTTCTTTAAGCAGCCCAACGCAATAGTCGACCGTGAGGATGCCTGGCGCCAGATGGCCAGCCTCGCTGGCGCCAAGCTTACATTCCCACAACTCTTTCGAGATGACCTTCGCAATGGTCCTTTCGTATTTTCCTTGACTGATCTTCATCGAAGCAATATCTTCGTTGACGAGAACTGGAATATCACCTATATCATTGACCTAGAATTCGCCTGCTCCTTACCAGTCGAATATCTACAGACCCCATACTGGCTAGATGGTGCATTTATCGACCAAGTCACCTCTACTGAGTTTGCGCCTATACATACAGAGTTTATGGAGCACATCAGACGCGAAGAGAAGCTACAGCAGTGTCAATACCCACTCTCGTCTATCATGGAGCAGTCATGGGATCGTGGCACATTTTGGGTCCCCTTGGCACTACGAGACCCGGTATCTTTCACAGATCTCTTTTATGAGCGTATCCTGAAAGGTTGCTTTGCATTTCCTGACGAAGAGCTTGAAAATGGAGCATACTTTAGATTCTGCTCCCGTCTTTACCGACGCAATTTGCCTAGCATCATCGACCAAAAACTAGACGACCAAAAGAGATATATAGAGAGGCTTACAGAAGCCTTTGCCGATGCCGCAGCAGAGTCATCTTGAACCAAGCTTGGAAAGTGTAATCATTTGCTTTTAGCCACTCTTGCTCCCTCGTAGTAGCGTCCCGAGCTGAGCAGTAAATTTCCCGGCACCCCTAGCCTTTTGCGCCAAAGTGGCAGATGATTGTTCACTGCGGACAAAGGAATCGGGACAGCAAACACCGGCTTCCTGGTTGCGACCACGATCTCTACCTCGGAAGATGAACATGTCACTCCTGGATTGAATGGGTTCTCATAGAGCTAAGCAGCATGTGCTAAATTACACCTTCAGCGAGGGGTGTGAAACAGCCGCAGATGACGAAGACACCCCGGAACTCCGCGACGAGAAGGACAGTTACCCAGATAAACCGCAACAAGAGCGCCCTAAAATACCGACGGAGGCCGCCTTTCGCATGCGGGAGGAGGCTTTTTCTAGAGCACAGGGCCATCATGGACGCCGTTACTCAACTGCGATTAGCCATCACAGCTGGTATCACCACAATTTGAACTCGAAGATACCACTGGATCATACGATCCCATCGGAATAGACCGTCCAGCCGTCAATGCAATAATCGATGAAAATGGGAAGGTGGTTCAGGCGCGCCCGAGGGGCATGGACACTTTGAGACACCACTTTCTGGTAGCACACAGTGTGCTTTCGGCAAGTCCTTGTAATTTACTTGAAGGATTGAAGCCAATGTTTGTGCGAACTTTGTGAAGGATGGAGGCGCGATTGTGAATACGCATGGCAGAATGATGTGCCATTGTAAGACATAAGCCTACCCCTACCTAGCTAGATACCTACCTAGGTACCTAGGTAACTACATAGAGATTCTGTTAAGTCGTATCCAACCCCTGATGACTAAGCCATTACAGGCGGCCTTCTTGGCCTCCACAGACGCTTGGAATAAACAACAAGACCAATCAAGCATCAAATCAACTATCATCTGCCTCCTCGCTTTGCCTTGCGTCCTATGGTAGGAGGCTTCTCTAACGGAAACACACGCGTGCGTCATCCCCAACTACCGCGACATTCAGCCGAGGCGATGCAGTAGAGCAGGAGCATTCTGTCTGTGAAAGCCAAGTCCTTGAGTCCTTCCTAGGCCTCACAAATCTCATGTTTCCCATCAAGCTTTGCAAGACCCGGCCACTTATGTTCTTCAACCACACCCGATGGCCGCCATCGTCTGCAGTTGCTCCGCGGCTTGATCCGCTTCTTCCGCTCGAGGAGGAAAAGACACCATACTATGATCCTAGTCTATTCTATCCAGCCCGACTCGGCCAAGTGCTGAACGAAAGATACCAAATTGCCACCAAGGTCGGCTACGGGTCCAGTTCAACAGTCTGGTTGGCTAGAGACCTGCGCCGGTCTAGCTTCACTCAAATCCTCCCATATGTGACACCTCCGCTAACCATGGTGTAGCTGGCGTTGGACGAGAGAGCGGTACGTCGCCGTCAAGATAAGCGCTGTGACGCGCAAATCCTTCCGCGATGAAGCTGAAAACGAACTTGCGATCATGAAGCATATTTCTCGACAAAACACTAGACACCAGGGCTGGAATTTCGTTCGGAAGCTATTGGACTCTTTTACCATTGACGGCACGTCTGGTCGTCACCTGTGTCTCGTTTTTGAACCCCTACGAGAGCCGTTGTGGCTCTACTGTCGTAGGTATCAGGGGGATGTGATACCCCCGGATATCCTCAAGGTTATTGTGCAAATGATTCTACATGGCCTGGACTACTTGCATTCAGAATGCCATGTCATTCATACTGGTATTTGCCCTTGTGACTTGGGCTTCCGGTTAAAATGCTAAGTTTGAGCTAGATTTGAAGCCGGATAATGTGTTGGTCAAGATTGAAGATTCGACTATCCTGGAAAGTGATGCCCGGGACGAGTACTGCCACCCGTTGCCTCAAAAGGTCACTGATGAACGAACTATCTATCTATCGCGAAACAATTATGGCCAGTTTCAGCGACCCGCTGGACTAATCCAAATATGCGATTTTGGTCTTTCTGTGTCTGGTAAAACACAGCATACCGGGTGCATTCAAGCGGAAGCCTATCGCGCCCCAGAAGTCATTCTTGATGCCGGCTATACATACAGCGCCGACATATGGAGCCTCGGTGTCATGGTACGTTTTCGAATTGATCCGCGTCAGATATTCGGTTCTATGCTAAAGTCCATATTCTTCAAGCTATGGGACCTGCTTGAAGGTCAGAAACTATTTCATCCCGTTGATTTGCACAATGGTGATGAGTATAGCGACCTGGCCCATCTAGCTCAGCTCACTGCGCTTTTAGGGCCACCACCAGAAGGTTTGCTCTCTTCTGGTAAACGAACGTCAAAGTTCTACGAGTCTCAAGGTCAGTATACTTCATGTTAAAGCAACCAACCCTAATAATCGTGTACAGGCAGCTTGAGAAGCCAACACCCAGTGCCGGAAGACTTCAGATTCGAAAACACCATAACCAAGATTAGTGATGAGGAGAAGAGCAGATTTCTCGACTTCGCGAAACGAATGATCAGGTGGTGCCCGAAGGAGCGAAGCACGGCGAAAGAATTACTTGGCGATCCGTGGCTTTATGAAGATGTGTCGGGTGACTCACAATGAAGGCTCTGTGAGTTTTTGCTTCAGCTCCCCCACCGCCCCCAAGGATGAACGTCAGCGGCGCCGCGGCGTTGGCGAAGTACTCGGAAGCCGGGCATGGTGACATCTCGACATGTTGATTCTGAAAGCCTAGCAGCGGCCTACTGTATGCACACAGCCTGCCCGACTCAACAAATGGGGCGGAGGGCCGGCTAGGCGCCATCATTCGCACCCCGTAACTACCTAGGTAATATTAGGCGTTCTGGTCAGAATCGTAATAGGACCAGAACGCAGGACCAACTGGAGCACAGCAGCACAGCGAATACAATACACAAATAATACTATTTTATAAGTGAAATTCACTCGCTCCATCTTTTATGTTTATTCTATTTTACTTATACATTGATAAAGTATTTTTATTATTATTTTAATCTTCACCTTGCAGAGCCACCTACGTCCTTAGCACGCGAGTGCCTAGGGTCAGTGAAGTGTATAGGACGAGGTCATCTGTAATCCGTACACATGGCACGAGAATTAAAGGTAAAACCTCAACAGTTCTCTATTATAGCATAATACTTTGCCGCTGAGAACTGATATCAAATGCGAGAGCGACAGGTACGTGTTGTATTTTCTTTTGCTGCAAACATCAATTCTGGCGCCTCCAGCCTCATTTGGTAGGCAGTCCCTAGAATAAGCACTGTGATTACCTTTGCCTCAGGTTAGTACCTACAGAAAAACTGCGCCGACACAAACCTCTTCGACCGTGAACGAACTTGCAGCAATCAGAACAGATGCTTCCCCGGGGGTGGTGTGCTCTTCAAAGGGCTTCCCATTGTATCCCTCGTGCATCGCTGATATCCCCCGTTTTGCGCCTGGGTTCGCCGGCCCCTCGACCGCCGTTCTCTACACGCCAGAGGTCACCCTCAAGGCGAAGCTATTCCGCAGCGGTTTATCGCGAAGTTGTTGCTGACGGGACAGAGCCTCTGGACAGGTACGAACCGGGAGGCTTTCATCCCGTTCTGGTGGGCGACAGGATACACAATCGATATGACGTGGTCGACAAGTTGGGCCACGGCGGTTGGTCGATCATCTGGCTTGTTCACGACTCCCAAGAGCAGCGGTACCTTGCGCTGAAAGTGGGTATTGCAGACTCTCTGCCGCGTGAGGTGCCGATTCTTCGGGCTCTCGGTGCACGGCCGGAAGCTCCAGGGTTTGAAAACATTCCGCATTTGCTGGACGAGTTCACCGTCAGCGGCCCCAACGGCTCGCATCCCTGCTACACTACTGCGCTTGCCCTCTGCGACCTGAGGAAGTGCTCATTCGGCCAGCTATTCCATCTTGACGTTGCCCGTGCTATGGCGTATGAGCTGGTTCTCGCCGTCGCTTACGTCCATTCACAAAACTTTGTTCACGGAGGTGAGCGCCAATATTGCATCTTTATAGCTCGCGCGCCCGGCTAATCATTATAGATATCCATCTTAGCAATATACTGGTACAGGCACAAACTAGCATTGATAAATTATCCATCCCGGAGTTTCGAAAACAATATGGCAGCCCTGATTCATACACAGTCTCGCGTCGCGATGGCCAACCCCTGACGCCGAATGTGCCGGCAATGGTTACAACACCACTGTACATGGGAAAAGACTCGGAAGATTTCTCATTGCCGGAAGCACGAATAGTCTTGAGCGACTTTGGAGAGGCATACCAGCCGGACACGGACGTTCGTCTGGGCAAGGACTGCCATACGCCGGTAGACTTCCGGCCCCCGGAGGCCCTTTTTGAACCCGATGCACCGCTATCCTTTTCTGCAGACATCTGGAGCCTCGCGACCGCAATATGGGATATTATAGGGATGCAGGCTCTCTTCAGCAGCGCCTTCCGCTCAGAGGAAGAGGTCATGTGCGAGATTGTTGACATCATGGGGCCACTTCCTGATAACTGGTACACGATTTGGAAGCATCGGGATGAATATTTTGACCAGGATGGACAACCGAAAGAAGGTCGCCATGTTTGGCCAGGAATAGAGCAAACCTTTCGAAACCGTGTCCAAAAGTATCGCAGAGAGGCCGACATGGTGGAGCTTTGTGCGGAGGAAGAGGCTGCGTTTCTGGACATGATGAAGGGAATGCTGAAATACAGTCCTGAGGAGCGCTACACCGCGCAGCAAGTTCTGGAATGCGACTGGATGGTGAAATGGGCGTGTCGTGATTACGAGCGTAGCCGGTGGCCAGAATGATAGTATGGATCAGTGGGTTTGCGCCGCTTTGTCCGACGATTGACGTCTACCTCTCGGCCAAGATCCGCCGGCTACCAAAAGGCGGGTGACAGAATGGGGACGGGGTATCGTAACTAGGTCTATCAATGATAAAATACACGATAAAAGATGTACATGACGTTTTTGCAAGCTCAAATCACTCGCGTTTACAGTGAGTAGGGATGTATTCTTCTCCGACTGGGCATGGACAATCGAACCTGATTGCCATTGCGGTATCAATTCGTGCATGGAGCCGTCACGAAGCAAGAAGTCATCTTACAGACTGCATGCTATCGTGACGCCACTAGTGACGAGAATGTCAACGCTGTCAACTTGCACCGCGGTTCGTTGAATCGCGCCCGAGTTGGCTACTGCTTTATCTGCTTGATAATCCAGTCATCTTGGGCCAGGCTCTTTGCTGAGCTGCGTTTCTCAGGCTCCCATTGCAGCATTCGCCGCATAAAGCGTAGAAAGTCGGCCTTGTCCTCGCCGCTGAGTGATGTCTCCCTTTGCTCCAGCGTGACCGTGTTCACCGTTCCTGGGGCAGAAAATTCGCCGTCGGTGAAGAATTTGTGGCTCAGCTGACCTCGTGCAAGAAACTCAGGCGGCGGCGGGCCGAGAAGACTGATCATTTCGGCGAGGTGAGCCTGCTTTGTGTACCTGTTCAGTTCTGGATCTTTGCCGGTGAACAGGAAGCCGCCTTCGAAAATGTCCCATATCTGCAAAGTTTGTTAACAGCGCAAATCAAAATCGGCGGTTCCTCGTTGGATGTTATGCTTACCATGCAGCCTACGTTCCAAATGTCAATGCTGTACGTCCAAGGGACCTGCAAGAGGACCTCTGGCGCTCGATATATATTCGGTTGCGCTTCCTCCAAGTGTTGTACTCCGCCCTTAACAGTAGTTCCAAAATCGCAAAGCACAGGAAGACCCATGTATTTTGAAAATTTGAGTTCCCGTGAGGTGTAGATGCATCTCCCCTCTAGCTCTTTCCTGGGACTAGGTGCTTGGAGTTCACCCTGCTCAACGTCGATGAGAACGGATTGATCAGAGGACTCGAACATGATATTATCTGCCTTGACATCTGGAAAAAAAAATATAAATATTGATGTATCAAGGAGGAGATTGTGAAGCTCACCCGTATGTATGATCTGACATTCTGTGTGCAGATAGTCCAAGGCCATAAAAATGCGATGGAGGGTGTAAGCAAGCATTACTTTAGGCAGTCTCCCGACCGGGTTTCGGCCAAGAAACGCAGTGACGTTTTCGTACAACGGTTCATGTACAAGACACTGGTGTTGGTCCCCGGGCCCGCGTATCTCAAACGCGTCCAGGAGAGACCTTACAGCAGACCGTCCAGGGTGTGCTGTGGCTGTATTACTGATGCGTTTGTAGACTTTTAGCTCCTCTTCCATGGTTGTCCCCATAGAAGTAGTTTGAATGGAGATTTTGAGAGTAACATAACAGCGGCGACTGTTTTTCGTCAACTGGCGCGTTCCGAACGAAGATGACGGCAGAAACGGTGATACTTACTGCATATCTCGCGCCAGCCAGACCGTAGAGGTGGACCCGAAGCCTAGTTTGCCCACAACTTGGTAACGGTCCTGCAGTACTTCTCCTATCCGAGTTGGGTAGTATCGAGCGGCGACATAGTCTGGAAACCTTTCTTCTTCAATCTTTTGAGTTTCGGGTATCCGAGTAAAGTTCGCGTTGGCGAAGACAAGCGGCTTCCACGGTCGGCGGAGCCAATGTAACGGCAACAGTCTCGATAACATGATTTGCAATGTGTGCTGAGAGGCAGAAACGTGAATAGTTGACAAGCCTGTGGGCAGATGAGGGAAGAGGGAACTGAATGACTAAACCCCTAAGACAGGTTAGGTGCCTCAGGAGAGCCGCCCATAAAAAGTCACACAAAGTACAGTTCTAGAGGCATGTTCAGTACTAAAAACACTACAGATATTATAATGAAGACTTTATTAAGTATAGGTATGACGATTAACTAGAACAAGGCTAGCTTTAAGCCGAATGACGAGCTCCCTAATTTGTATATTCGTCTGTGTGTTTATACAGGCATGGCTGGCTATTGTTGCGTGATGGCGAGTACCTACTATTAGAGACTTGCTAGCCCGCACTAGCGGCAACTAGAAAAAAGCCCCATCTAAGGCTTCTAGGTCTACTAAATAACGGTGTGTCCAACAAGGCAATGGATTAAGTTCATTAAAGTCTAGGTTCGTTTTTAAACGATGGGGACAAGGCTATAAACTGAAACAAAGAGTCATCTGCTTGTAGGCATCACGACGGACCAAAGTCCGCAAAGCAACCATTCAGATACAATCGATATTGCCCAAGTAGATGGTCGAGGTGAGACGTAACCGCGAGCTCATAATCTGGCGGCTCAACCTCAAACACAACCTCCAAGTCGACGATTTTTACCTTGCCATCTGATATGAGGAAATTATCCAACTTGGTATCGCCATATGCAACCCCATACTTGGTCAACTCCCACAGTGCCTCCTCGACCAGCTTCTCGAATTGCTCTGCGGCCATCGGGCAACTTGGATCCTGCTTGTACGACGGTACCCCTTCGATATGAGACAATAGAATGGCCGGTGACCCCTCATGTGTGGCGTGGCCCAGAAATTCCGGTATTCTATGGCCCTGAAGCGGCCTGAGCCTCTCGTACATGGCCGTTTCATTATCGAATTCCTCCTGCCAGCCGGGTTTCAGCGTCTTCATTACGACACGGGCTGGTAAGAAATACGCTGGCATAAGGAACTTGGCGATTCTTTTGAGGAATTGCGGCAGCCGATTAAGAGCGTTAGAGATATACTCCTGGAAAGCAGTGCGAGCAATTCGAAGGCCTAGTACATTGTCGTGGATGTGGTCAAAGTTATGGCCCCATGCTGATACCAAGGCCCCCTTGAAGCGAAACTAGACGAAGACCTAGTTAGTAAGTGCTCCTATGAGATTTATATATATATTATGAACATGCCTGAATTTGACGGTCGAGGGGTGACTTCGCCATGGTGTGTGTGATGGAAAAGGTTGTCTGTTGCGCCCCTGACAGTAGCCTGGTTCACTAACCACAGCTGTCATGTGCGCTGCTGCCTGGCGAAAGCGAGAGGGGTAATGTTGTCTTCACGCAAAACGGTCCTCTGCATCACAAACTTTTTCATAAACAGGGATTGTTCGTGTTACACAGTTTTACTTTGCAAGCATTCCCACAATATGGCTACAACTGGCCAGAGTCTGCTCAGCCAGCATTCCACACGCTTAGTTATACACCAAACGCTGGTTATGTCCGCGAGTACCAAGGGTTGACCCAAAGCTTTTCCGCCAATATCGAAATTCAATCTTCACACGTCAGTTCATGGCCCCGGGAACGTTGTTGCAAGGAGACAGCAGATACTGCGTACTCGGTCACTCGAGGTACCAACCAGCGAGTCCACCTAGCCATCGGAGAATTCGAGAGCTGGCGACTTTGATTAAACTATGTTATTAGAAAGCAAAAGCCGAAGAAAATAAAACGCCACAAGTGACGCTTCTGGGTTCGAAGCAAAAGCTTCAAGCGCAGTGGAACGCCTCCGCCGACGTCCAGTCACCTTGGCCGTTGTACACCGGCACCCGGGGAAAAGCACATAAATTACGGTGAATGGTCCTCTCCGAGCCGACGCTTGCCGCGGCCAGCGTCTCAGGCACCGTGCCGTCCTCCGTCCACCTCCGCAGAGACTCAAACGTCGAGTGCGGGTATGCGCCGGCGCCGCCGAAACAGTGGCGAAGGCCGGGCGAGAGGAACAGCCGATAAAAGTCGCTCGCGTCGGGGTCTAACGCGAGGACCCTTTTGTAGTACTCGATACTTCCGTCGACAGGAATCAGAGAGTCGCTCTAGGTCCCGGGGGGTTGGCTTGCTGTCAGCGGTGGTTTCTGCGGCGGCAGGGCGGGCTGCGGACTCACGGTTCCGTGATACGTAATCATCTTTCCGCCGAGTCGGCGAAAGGCGGAGAGATCAGGATCGCTGGTTCCGATGATGGAGTCGTACTGTTGATGGGACATGTGCGCGACGTCGTCGAACTCTTGGTGGCTCAGGGCGGAGGTGTCGGCGTCGGCGTCTTTCAGAACAAAATACTTGATCCAATCGTCCGCCAACGTGAAATTGCCCGCAGTGCAACTCCCGTTCCTCTGGCACTCGATCGGCACAATCGCGACATCGGTCATCGATCCGGTAACCAGCACATCTTTGCCGAGTCCGTACCAGATCGGCGAGCCGTCGATCTTTGTCGGCCCTCTCCACTGTCCTGCCGTGTAAGTCACCGTGCATCGATTTGTAGGCTGTGGGGGCGTGACTTACAGTCTCCTCCATGATATCGGCCGCTTGGGCAGATATGCGCCGCAACTGCCCAAAGTCGGTACAGTTGATGACGCGACCAACTACGCAATGGGGGTCAAAGTCGCAGCGGCCTGAAATGATGCCATCAGGGACCCCGTCGTTCATATCGCAGGCCCGTATGGCTGCGGCCCGGATGGCGTTGAACTCGCACGGCGGCGGCACCGAATCTGCCTTTCTCATGAGGTACGAGGGCCACAACCCCGTCATGAAGAATTTCGTCCAATTGATGGCGGGCGCCGCCGCTGCAATTCCGTCAAACGCCGCGGGGTACCGCTGGGCGAGCATGAGGCCCTGGCGCCCGCCCTGTGAGCAGCCGTTAAAGTATGCGTACCGAGGAGGTCGGCCGTAAAACTTCTCCACCAGGCTTTTCCCAATGATGGACATGTCGTTCAACGAGGTCGAGGCCAGGTTCTGCAGATCATATAGGTTCACGTTTCCGGGGCTGAGCAGGCCCCAGTCGGCCGGGGACTGCGAGGTGCCCAGCCCGCCGTCGGTGGTCAGTGTCGCGTAGCCCTCTCCGACAGCGCCGCGCATGCTCAGAGACGCAGCATAGTTCAAGCCAGCCTGCCATCCGTCGCCGCCAATCGCCTGCAGCCGCCCATTCCAGGTATCGATGGGCAGCCAGGCCAGCACGGTGAGACGGTCGCCTTGGCCCGGGTGGGTGTAGGAGACGGTGATGTTGCAGTAGTTGACGCCGGCCAAGGTGGCATCACCGTGGTTCAGGTACGCTCCGACGGGTACGTGCCCGGTGACGTTGGAGACGACATTCGCTTTGAGGGACAGGAATTCGGCGCCGGGCAGACTGGGCATTGACAGAGCGCTCGATGAGCATGCTGAGGAAGGCATGATGCCGGGATAAAGTGGTGGGATCATGGTGATGAGCTGCGTGTTGCGCTGGCGAGATCTGGAGGGGTACTAGTCGCAGTTCATGCTAAGGCGGTACTTGCTCTGATTTATATACAGGTGTACGTATAGACTATCCGTACAGTCGGCAGTTTTGTATATTCGTCATCGCCTCGCGATGGGCTGCTTGTGGCCTTGGCAATTCCAGACGGGAGTGGAGCTTGCAGGCGTTCTTTAGCTTGCTCGCCAAGTAGAGGCGGATCGCTTGCGGGGATTTATTCACGCTACCAGGAAATGATATTCAACATTTGATGATGCCGATCTGTGGCTTCGGCTGACGGCGAGGAGGCACAACAGTTGATACGTTTCATGCAAAAGGCCGCTTCCGAGACATTGTCTGTATGTCTTATCTGCGCAGTCGATAGAGACTTGGTACTAAGCTTCGCAGCTACACCTAAGATGAGCCGAGACAAAGCAATAGTATCTTGTCGCTTGGAGGCACAAACGTATAAAGCTGGAGGTGTCCTCCCAGCTTTGATTCATCCATTGGTAACTACCATTTCAACAGAACCCCAACCGTGACCCTCTCGAGCACCCCATCGCACGTATACTTTAGAAGCAGTCATCATGAAGTTCGTCATCGTCGTCTCTGCCGCTCTGGCATCCGTCGCGGCAGCGTCAAAAGAGATGTTGGAACGGGCCAAGTGCGGACCCCTTGAATTTCGATGCGAGTCTAGTACGCGTCATTGGTACATGTGCAGTGAATACAATGAATGGCTGGTACGTATACCATCAAGTATGGGATAGCAGAGGCTCTTTGCTGACACGGTCGCAGATTGCTGGCCGCTGCCCGCTCGGCACTAGCTGCAGGATCGACAAGCAGAGCGGGTTTCCGTACTGCCGGCCCATGCACAAGGCGGTTGAGGACGGTCAGGACGAGATATAGGCTTATTGCTTGTGCTCTAGAAAAGCTGCTTGCTTGTCATCTATAGCCTGCGACCGTGCTCCCTTGGTTTGTTGGCGGAGGAGAAGTAGCCTGTTGAACCTTGTAAATATCGGCACGGACATGTCAAAGCAGTGGACAGAAATTATTTAATTGCTATTACATGTTACTACCAGGAGACATGCCATGCCATTTGTGCTTACCTAGTGTGCTCGCAAGTATATCGCTGTTGATTCCGGCCGTCGGTCCCCAAAGCTCACTCTTTCAAGGCCAGGCGGGAGTGGCGCTTTCAGGCGTTCTTGATCGGGGAATGGGACAGCTTCCATCTCGTTTGAGTTTTGAGACTAAGCTCAACGTAGTTAGTACTAGTGGATAAGATCCAGAGTTCCGAGTGGTTCGTTTGTGTGGTGACAACCTGGTAATGTGGATATACGAGTTACGAGAGCGGGGATACGAGTTTTACGAGAGTGGGGACGAGAAAGCCGCAGGAATCCGAATGTACGTATTCGTTGCGAAACCTAGCTCCAACACCACACAACGCCTTGTCGACTATTCGTACAATCGGATATTAGAACTGGCCAAACCTTCCTATGGACAAAACTTGGCGCCGTTCCCATTACAAATCCCGCTCGGGCTGTGCCGAGTGCAAGCGACGCCGTATCAAGGTACGCGTGTTCCCTCATGCTCTGCGCAAACGCTGCCCCCCCTCTGCAGGCACCCAATTGGCAGGCCAATTTAAAAGAAAAAAAGAAAGCTAACAGCAATCAGTGCGACGAGGTGCGTCCTGCCTGCGGCCACTGCGTCAAGTCTGGCAGGGTATGTCCGTACCGCTCGCCACACAATGGACTCCCCGGCGGCGTTGTTTCGCGGTCCGGCCCAGCAACCCCGGCCTCAGCAGCAGAAACCGGGCTTGTTCCACGCGACGAGGAGGGGCAGGAGCAGGAGCCCACGAGCATGGCCGCCGACATGACGCAGCTCCGTTTGCTCAAGCATTTTCTAACCGACGAGAGCTTCCGGCCTCTTCTCTCGCCACCGCGCAAAGGCAGCCGTCTGTCGGCCAGCCAGCTGGTCGACATGGCCATGGACTGCGAGTACCTCATGACGGAGATCCTTGCCGTGTCTGCCACGCACCTGGCCCTCGTGCAGCCGGATCAGCGGGCGACGCACCGCGCCCACTCGGCGCGGCTGCACGCGCGCGCCGTCGCGCTCTTCTCCGCCGAGGTGGTGCAGGCCGAGGCGCGCAACCCGTGGCTGCTGGCCGTCGTCTTCTTCAGCTGGCTCGTGGGCATGCGCATGCAGGGCGACTGGACGCTGGAGGAGGAGACGGCGGCGCGGAGCCGCGTGCTGCCGCGCTTCTTTGAGCTCGTCGAGGTGCTGCGCGGCGTGCGCGCCATGACCAAGACGGCCTGGAGCGGGCTCACCCAGGGCAGCGAGGACTTCGAGATCTTGAGCGAGTTTATGGAGCAGGGACTCGTCCTCTCCACCCTAAAGGGCAAGGGCAACCAGACGGCCCTCGTTCGGCTGCTGGTTCAGGACAGCCTAGGCCTGAGCGACGAGGTCAGGGCCGGCTGCCTAGAAGCCCTGAATCTGCTCCAGGTTGCCATAGACGCCAAGCTGGACAGGCGCGCCACGCAAGATGGTGACTACACGTGCATGTTCGTGTCCTTCTCGTGGCCTCAGATGGTCAGCCAGGACTTTTTAGACGCGGCGGGTGCCGGCCGGCCCGAACCTATGCTCGTCCTCGCCTTCTTTGCCGTACTGCTGCATTGGTCCCGGCGTATTTGGGTCTTTGGTGATACAGGGCATTGGTTGCTTAACAGCATCAGCAGTAACATAGGGCCAGGCTGGGAGCGCTGGCTTCACTGGCCGCAGACTATGGTTGGCACCTGCGTCCCGTCTAGTCCAAGTCCTGGCATCTCCGGGGACGTTGTCGAGAACTAGCTGCTTGTCCCACGCAGAGAGGGCCATACCCGTAGCCTCTCTTGGTAAGATTGGCACAGCCGCAGACGAGTCCAAACTTCGACGCACCACTCTTCATTGGCCGACGGGGCCACAACTGCGTCATCGACCATGCCACATGAGTCCATGCGAGCCCTTGCCAACGTTCCGTGTTAGTCGCCATTTACGCGCTCCACTTTTATGCATTCGGGTCCCAATGCGATTGGCACTCGAGACTTCTTCCCCCTGTCCCGACTTCCCATCATTGCGAATAAGGCATACGTCTTCAACGACTTCAAAAAGACGAGACGCGTAGACCCGCCATCGAAAACGCAATTGGAGTGTGGAACGCAATAAGCGGCAATTTGACTTTGGAAATGTTAAAACCATTCATGTCCCCATCGATCATGAGCTCGGGCAACGTCTCTTTCCAATCTCTGCACGCCTCTGCCCCCGGGCGACTCATCCTTCTTTCACGTCCACACGTCCTCAGCCGCCACAATGTCCACCACAGGTCTCATGGATCCTGTCCCAGGGGTTGAGCCTACCAAGGGCGGTTTGTATCTTTGGCGATTTCTTCCAAACCTGGGTGCTGCCGTTCTCTTCCTCCTGCTCTTCCTGGGCTCCTTTCTCTATCTCAGCTGGAAGATGTGGAGGACAAAAGCTTGGTTCTGTACCGTGTTCCTCATCGGATGCTTCTGTACGTCTCCAGCCGTTGCGCAGCCTGGAACATTCTGTTTTGAGAATCTCCTGCTAAATTGTCTATTTTAGTGGAAGTCGTCGGATACGGTGTTCGAGCGGGGGCGCGAAACCACACGGGAAAGCTCATGCCCTACGTCGTGCAAAACATGTTCCTCCTGGTGGCGCCGATCCTCTTCGCCGCGTCCATATACATGGTTCTCGGGCGTATCATAACAAGTGTGAACGGCCACGGGCACACACCCATCAAACCCTCCAAGATCACCATGACCTTTGTCCTGGGCGACGTCTTCTCCTTCGTTGTGCAGGGAGGCGGCGCCGGTCTTTCCGTCGTGCAAAAACCGGGCCTCGCGCAGTAGGCGGAAAGAATCATCATCATTGGCCTTTGCCTTCAGATTGCCATGTTTGGCCTGTTCTGTGTCCTTTCCGTCATCTTTCATCGGCGGATCCAGGCGTCGCCCACGACCAAATCTGCATCGTCCGCAAGCCCCTGGGAGTCTGGCCTGCACATGCTCTACAGCGTCAGCTTGCTCATCATGATTCGCTCCATTTTCAGGGTGATTGAGTACGTCCAGGGACAAACAGGCTACGCCCTGTCTCACGAGTGGACCCTCTACGTCTTTGACTCTCTTCCCATGTTCGTGGTCACTGTCCTCTTCGCTTGGCGGTTCCCGAGCCGGTTCAGAACAAAGGACCAAGACGCGCAGTCGTGTACGGAAGTCAATCTTGGGGTCTAGCCTTTTACTAATGTCCCGGTTGGCAGATTTGATGATGGATGCAGCTGGATCTGGATGGAGATGAACGATTGGTCGGACAAGTTACAGCGAAACAGCTGTCCGCAAGAGTTATTCCTAAATGTAGTAGAAGCAGTAAATAAGCTTGCCTGTATAATAAGAAAAAACGGGCGAGGGAATTGTTTATTTCCTCTTGATATTTGTCCTGCATTTGCTCGTTGTTCGTGGTAGAAGCCTAAGCCCGTTTAGAAGCATTTCTGTTAGTTAATGGAATGACTAAACTGAAAGCCTTGAGTGAAGTCTCGGAAGTGCGTTGTTGCAAAAGCGGGGTTGATGAACGGTCGCGATGTTATTGGCTTTGAATCAATGAGTCACACGGCGAATGCTAAAAATAGTCGCGGATCACCAAAGTAGATTTCACTCTTGCAGTTCCGCATCCATCTTGCAGTTCAGCATTCATCTTCACCAACTACTCGCCATTTTATACAGTTTGTTTTTTGGCAATTTTCTGCGTCTATAGTGAAACTTGCCGACCGTTGGTTGCAGCCGCCAATCGAACTTTGCATCATGGCCAAAAGCACAGCAGCAGAAATCCAAGCCGCAGTGCAAAAAGAGCTTGCGGATACGCCCTACGCAGCCACCTCACTGCGGGCACTGTCCGGCGGCAACGCCAACTTTATCTACCATGCTAAGCTTCAAGCGCCCCTGCCCGACGGACGTTGCGATGTCGTGGTAAAGCACGGTGAAGGCTATGTCGCCACGAGTCCTGAATTTGCCATTACCGTTGCCCGCTGTGTAAGTTCGCCCGAAGCCCCAAGGGGTCCCAGCTTGATACATTCACGTGAAGAAAAGAAGAAGAAGAAAAGCTCACTCTCTCGTCGCAGAAGGTGGAAGAGGCCGTTCTACGGTACATGGCGCGTTTCCCAGCATTCCCCAGGATACTCACGTTCCACACCCGGACGCCGACGCTGCTGTACTTCAACCCGGCGACGAGCACCAACGTGCAGGAGTACCTGCCCGAGGCGCTGAGCCTGAAGCACTACGCGCTGCAGCACTTCAAGACGGCGACTGCGGACTCGCTGGCGCGGCCGCACTGCTACTCGCTGGGCCTGTCGCTCGGCATGTGGCTGCGCATGTTCCATAGATGGGTGCGCGAAGGGGACAACAGCGCCCTGCGCGACCTGGTCGCCGCCAACACGGAGATGCAGGCCATCAAGAAACGCCTCAACTACGACAACCTGCCGCAGTCCATGGCGCGACACCAGCCCGACGTGGGCGACTGCCGCGACATGTTCCAGCAGGTCGCCGACATGGCCGCCGCCGAGCTGCGCGACAGCGAGAGCCTCCATGTGATTCACGGAGACTTTTGGACCGGCAAGTAAGTTCAGCACCACCACCATCCTTTTTTTCCCAAAATCCAAATCATCGCCAAAACTCTAACCTCTTCTTTAGTATCCTGCTTCCCGACGCCCCCATTGGCTTGGGCGGGACAACACAGGTCTTTGTCGTTGACTGGGAAATGGCACAGCTCGGGGTGCAGGCGGAAGATTTCGGCCAGCTGGTGGCGGAGCTGTGGCAGCTCAAGCTTTATGCGGGCATCGATGCCGGTATCTGGATCATTGAGGGATTTGCCGAAGGGTATGGCAGGGTCGACCTTGCCTTTATCTTGCGTGCTGTCGTCCACGTTGCGGCGCACTTGATCGCTTTTGGCTCGAACACGCCCGGATGGGGCACGCCGGAGCAGAACAAAGAGGTGGCCTTGGTCGGCAAAGAGACCCTGAAGAAGGCGTTGAGTAACGATATGCAGGCCTTTCGGGGGCACCCTCTCCAAACCCTTTTCAGGTACCTGGGCATCAACGATATAAAGTTGGTTAAAGGGCAAAATGGTGTTGTTGAATAAACAAATATATTTATAGAATAAAGAAATTAAAGAAAGTCAATGAAACTAATTAAGTAAAAATCCATCATTATACAGATTCACCTCATTTTTGATGGTCTATTTCTGGCAGTAGCTCTGGCATCTGCTGGTATCAATCTTCTTGTTGGCCAGGACGCAGGCAGCGTACTGCTTCTTGCAAATGAGATCCTTGATGAGTCCCAGAGTGCGCTTGCCATGGGTCTTGTCATCAGCGCCGGACTGCTCCAGCTCGCGGCGAGAAAGACCGCCCTTGTTGACGAGGCAGGTGAGGTCGTTGGCAGCCAGGCACTGGTCAAGCTGATACTTGCAAGCAGTCTGGCAAGCGTTGCTGACAGTAGGCTTGGAGAAGATGGGGCACTTGAAGCTGTCCGAGTGGTTGTACAGCTTGAAGCAACCGCTCTTGAAGGTCTTGACGTCATCGTTGCAAGAAACAATGGGCAGAGGGATGCCGCAGACCGGGTTGTCGCCGCCGAACTTGTGGAGCCAGCTGGAGCCGTCAACGCAAATGTTCTCGGGGCTGGGAGGGCAAGTCGTGGGCGTAGGCGTGGGCGTGGCACTGCAAGGCAGAAGGGTGGTGGTGACGGTAGGGGGGTTGCCCTGAGTAACACCGCACGTCTTCTTGCTGCAGCCTCCCTTGAGACAGCTCAGGCAGCACAGCTTAATAGCCTTGCAGCGAGCGGCGTAGTCGAAGCAGCGGGCAGTGTTCTGGAGGCCAGCGTGCAAGAAGCAGACAGGAACCTGGATAGCACAAGAAGCGGCAGCGGCAAGGCACGAGACGCCCTCGGTCCACTCAGGCTCAGGCTTGGGGCACCAGTCTCCGATCGGGTTGGCGCAACCCGAGGGAGTGGGGGTGATGACAACGGGGCACAGGGTGGAAGTGGTGAAGGTGGAAGGCTTCGTCGTCGACGACGCAGGGAGAGTGGTCGAAGGCAAAGGCGTCGTCGTCGGGGGCACCGAAGTGGAAGACGGGACACCAGTGCTGGACGGGCCAGTGCTGGACGGGACACCAGTGCTGGACGGGCCAGTGCTGGACGGGACACCAGTGCTGGACGGGCCAGTGCTGGACGGGACACCAGTGCTGGACGGGCCAGTGCTGGACGGGACACCAGTGCTGGACGGGCCAGTGCTGGACGGGACACCAGTGCTAGACGGGCCAGTGCTGCTGGGAGGAACGGTGGGGGTGCAAGTGTTGGAGGTGCCAGGGGGGCAGGTCGAAGGACCACCAGGAACATCAGTGCAGCTAGCCGAGCCCGGGTTGCAAGGAGTCGTCGTAGGGACGGCAGTGGTGCTCGACGCGGGGGTGGTGGTGGCCGGGCCGGAAGAGCTGGGCTCAGTGGCGGTGCTGGCGGGAGTGGTGGAAGAAGCAGGGCCGGAAGAGCTGGGCTCGGTGGCAGTGCTGGCGGGAGTGGAAGAGGTAGCAGGGACAGTGGGAGTGCAGCTGTTAGAAGTGCCGGGAGGGCAAGTCGAAGGGCCACCGGGCACGTCAGTGCAGCTGGCCGAGCCAGGGTTGCAAGGAGTAGTGGTAGGAACGCCCGAGGTGCTAGGAGCGGGAGTAGTAGAAGTAGCAGGGCCGGACGAGCTAGGCTCGGTGGCGGTGGTAGCAGGGCCGGAAGAGCTGGGCTCGGTGGCGGTGGTGGCAGGGCCGGAAGAGCTGGGCTCAGTGGCCGTGGTAGC